TAAAACGTTTAAAACTTAAAACGTTAAAAGTTAAACTAAACTAACTAACGTAACGTAACTACGTAGTAGTAGTAGTAGTGTGTATATATTTATTTTTTGTAAATTATTTTTTTGATATTTTTATTAGATTATTCTATTTTTGAAGAATACACGCCTAAAATTTCAAGTGGTTTGGATTCATAGAAAAAATATTAAAATTCAAATATTGAATGAGGTGGTGACTGTCAGATCATCCCAGATCCAATCTGGGCTGTTGGGCTCATATGAACGCATATGAGCTAGTCGGCTAATCTCAGCATTTTCCATATATATATATATAAATATAGGAAAAGTCTTCCTAACGCCTATAGGCGAAAACAAACAGTGATTTCACCTACCTTCATCACCGTCCAAAGTTCATCGTACGGTCACGATTGTCCGATAGTGTTTTATTTTTCATTTTTTTTCTACAAATCGGATTGACCTGAAATTTGGAGCGTGTGTTCATCAAAAATAGGTGCACCAAATAAAAAATTATAATAATATTTCTCAAAAAAAAATGACCAAAATACTTCCCAAACTTTTTGGGGGTATTTTGGTCAATTTTTTTCACATAAAATATTTTTTTGTTATGTTTCGTAGATTCACCTATTTTTGATGAACATACGCTCCAAATTTCAGATCCTTCCGATTTGTAGAAAAAAATTTGAAAAATGAAACTACTGAACAATCGTGACCGTGCGATGAACTTTGGACGGTGATGAGGGTAGGCGAAATGACTGTTGATTTTCGCCTATAGGTGTTTTGTAGTATCTTCCATATATATATATATATAGGAAAGCGTTTATATAAGGTTGAAGCCCTAAACAATCAAATTAAGGTGTACCTCAAAGAATTCAGTAGAAATTTTTTTTGCATGCCGAAAAGCCCTCAATTCGGATCATCTTGACCTTGAGATACAAGAACATAAAAAAAAGAAAAGGAAATCAAGTCTTGGAATAGTGCATCTCGTAATAAATTATCTCGACAGTAAAAATTTCAAGTGTTCATAGATCTGCTTGATCTATACTATTTTTTAAGCTTTATTTTTTATAATTAGAGATGAAAATAAATTTTCAGGCCCTCTTTAATAGTTTTACTATTGAAACGACATCTTTCGACACTATTCGAA